TAGCTGGGAGTTGTTTTGGATCCCCTACCTAATATATATAGATATGTAATAAGATTTTCCAAAGCTATTGAAGTTTCCTTTGACTGATCATAATAATCATTTACTCATAAAACTTATGGTGTTACATCTACAGTGTCAAGACACAATTCTTCAAATTTGAAGCTACTGATGGTGTGTGTCGTATTGACTACCTACTCTATATATACTTGGAAAATTACTGCAATTTGGATACATGAAGCATAATCCTACTGAATGTTACCAGAAACACTTGTTTGCACCTAGTGGCCAAGGGGATAAGAGTTGCCGGCTCAACCTGACACAAGAGAAAATTTCATTAGTTATAAAATCTGACGAGCATATTAGCTTCCCACGCTCAGGGAATATAAGCATTAACATTTTCTCTACCTACATAAACCTTTTTATCAGTGAAAAGCTAACTTCACTTACATAGCAAACAACAAATAGTTTTGAGATATACAACAGTTTCCGGATAGTTCACATAGGTCAGGGTAAACTGCAAAGAAATGACTCGACTCTATGTATTGAGTATTGACACAGCATGACTAAAGTCTCATGCAAATAAAGCGTCCTATTTTTATATCCACATTTAAAGGTTAACAATTAGACATTTATAGTCCATATTCTATCGGAAGGGGCTTACAGCTTGTGCAGCTTCATCGATGATAACAACATCGAAACCACGGTTAGATTTGGCGAGAAGTGCTGAGCCACTGAAGCTTAGAGTCGCAAACACCTGTTAGTGCAAAAAAACCGAAGTGGGATATTCAGGGAAGGAAAAAAAAACATAATTTTAAAAATTACATGAGTGAGGGTTAATTCTCCATACAATTGCTGCTTCGTCCAAAATTGCAGTGCGGATACTATCTATATCAGTTCCTGTGGTTCCTTGTTTCGGTTTATCAATGGCTGAGCCACGCTTTTGTGCCACCTGCAAAAGAATGCTTCTCAGAAACGCACATAGGGACAAGATTTGTTAACAGAATTTTGTAATTTCGTTGTCTATTTTCAATGAATACTCTTATATACCACAACCAAACAAACTTTTAATGATCTGATGATAGTTAGATTCCAAGTTGAATGTTTTGAAAAAAATGGTTAAAGCAACAACCAAAACTAACACAGGACGAAAGGCAATAAGTGTAAAAGCTACTAGATACATACAAGGTGATCCAGTGATACTGACATGACGGAGTGATGTGCCTTGAGACCAATTCGTACTATTTTGGGTGTGTATGTCTGGGCGTTTTCGTCACGAAGACCTGAAAGTGCAGAAACCAAAACATATAAGACCACTACCAACTTTCAAATTTTGAAACAACGTATGAGATAAACACACATACCCGTAGTAAGAAGCCGCAATACAATCTCATCAAGTGCAGAGTTTGATGGAGCACAGACAAGTACACGTATTCTATACTTCCTACTTGCATTAACAACCTCAGGTTTCTGACAAAAATAGTGAACAAAGATAAGTAAGTTTATCACTACCAATCAGAATAAAATATACCGACCTACCAAATCATTTCCTGAGGTTGGAAAAAAACCGTCATCACCATCCTCAGGCATAATAGCATCTCGGGGGTTAACACCAAAAATCCAAGGAGAAGCTCGTTCCCAGTGATTGTATCTGCAGACAAAAGAAATACTGAGATATGTTCACCAAGAGGGATGTATGGTATGTGATACTTTAGACCAAACTACTCATAAAATGTGGAGTTATTTTTTGAGTTTCAAGATTTTCGATAAAACATGATATGATGTAGTTAATAATAACATTTTCCAGTCACTATGGATAGAAGTCTAAGTATGCGAGAGCTAAATATAAAATTATCTAAATGATCTTAAATGAGAGGGGAACCATACTTCTCCTCAATGGTCATCTGAATTCGACGCTTTAGTGCATGCTCCATATCCCTATTATGGAAGAAAAAGGAATATCCACCAGAGATTGAGAAGCATAAGAAAGCAAAGTTATAATATCTGGAGCTTAAATCAGAACTGCAAAAAGCTAAGCAAGGATCAAGAGGATAGCACATAAAAAAATCATACTTAGACTGGACTCTTGCTGGAGTGGCATGCATAATGGCACCAAGGATGCTAAGAATCGTCTGAGTTTTCCCAGTACCTGGAGGACCCTAAAGAAGAATCGAGTCATAAGTATTCGAATCAAATTGTAACCAGTTCAATTCAACTACTTGTCAATGCAATTTGAAAGAAGAAGTATGCAATATATCCCTGTTAACTTTCATTGCCAAGAAATCTCTCACATCCACGTAGTCAACAAGATCAAAACTAGATTCCTTTAAAGGCAATCTTGAGAGTCAAACAGAAAAACATTAAGTGCTAGTTCAGTAAGCAGGCTGAACAGTTTCAACTTCATGCAATTGTGGGCATTTACATTGATTGACAGAGATTGTATGTTCGACATTCAACGTGTAAAGAACATTACAAAATGCTAGAGAAACAAGATGAAGAAGAAGTCAACCTGTATTAAGACGAATGATTTTCTTGATAGACCAACCTGCAAAATAAGAGTTCGAGACAAAGAGCTCAAACTTTTGTTAAGGGAAACAGTTAAAGTCTCTAAGGAAAGAAATTACGAGGCCAGACTTACATCAATTGCCTCTTTTTGTGATTTGTTAAGATTTTCGTTAAAGAATTCATGCAAAGGTCTAGATATTTTCCAGGCATCATCTCCGAAACCACAAGATTTTTCTGCTGCAGTAAATATTAAATCCTTGAACGGAAGTGAACTGACTGATCGTAGTGCTATATATTCCCGAATAATGGTTGATAAACCACATAACTGCAAAATAAACATACCATACCATGAAAGACGCTGTATAAAAGATGGGAACTATTCTAGCTAGAAAGGATATATAACAAGTCAACAACAATCACTTAAGTTTATACAACAGCCGACAGGATTCAGCCAGTGAAAACTTAATGAAGCAGCTTCTAACTAGTATTACAGAAGAGTAAAATAAAGAAAAAGAACAAAAAAAAAGAGAAGCCAAGCTAGCACAGCACAACAATAATTGAGGCGTATTATCCACATTCATGATATAGTTATACATAGTTGCTATGACATAACAACTGACCTTTAAACTGAATACCCTTTTGTCTATAGGACTGGCAGACGATGTAATAAGAGAGCGCATATCTGAGAGAGCTTGGATAAATAGCTTTGTTCTAGAGGATTTAGTATTTTTGGTTATCTGCACCACTTCTTCAGCTAAATACATCCGAAGACGAAGAAGATTATTTTGACGATTTTCCACTACAGCAAACCCATAAGATGAAGGAAATGAATTCCCTTTCACCTGCAAAAGTTAATCTCTAACTGAATCAGAAAAACAATATGGAGATATCATAAATAAAGGATAAGCAAGTCATACACCAAAAACAAAGAAAAGTATTTTTACCTCTTCTTTTGATAGCAATAAGAGATCATTCTGAGCAAGATATTCGTCCTCGTCGTGTTCGTAAGTGACTAGCAGATAGTGAAACCCGTCGGCCTCGCTGCACTCCATAACCAATCTCATTTTACTCACCGATGCTAAGAGGCAAATGACATAAAAATTCATGAATATGTTAACAACTTTTATAAACATCACATCTTACTACAATAACAGAACATCAAAACTCAAAAAACCTGCCACTTTCGTTCATGATCAATGGATGGAAAAAATTAATAACAAAGAAAAAGAAAAAAAAAAAGCCAATGAGAAACATCATTAGATACATGTATATTAAGTTTTATGAATCTAACCTTCTTCTTCATCTTGATTCTGCAAGATTTGAGCTTTGACCTCCTCAAAGAGCAGTGGTTCAAAAGTCTCAAAATAATCATCAACATCCTTGTAAGTATTCTTAACAACATTCAACTTCCCTTTAGAATCCTTCCTATTTTCCCTCTGTATTACATCAAAAAAAATCAATTAGATACATTTAAAAAAACAATGAAAAGGAGTGTGTATGATGATGATGAGCTTACCTCATTCTCCTTTGTAAGCTGTTTATAGTCCCAACCCAAAATAATGTTATAGAAACGAGTAACAGCTGAAGCTTCATCTTCTTGAAGCTTCCCCTTATCAATGGCCATTACACACTAATCTCTCTCTCTATCTCAACTAAAACTTACCGCCAGATTCTACATGAACATGTATCAGACGAAAATTTCAGTAAATTCGGAAAGGAAGTTCTTAAAAAGATTAGTTTCAAATTCGGTTCAATGCAAGCGTAAGCATAATGTTATCGTATAATCAGTAAAGTAATCAAATAGCAGAGACTATTTGACAAGCTGAAAACAATCAACAAAATGTCTTTGTAACTGCAAAGAAGAGAGAAAGAGAAAAAACCAAATTTTTCTTGAAGGGAAAACCTTGAAATCACTGTGGCGGAAAGGGGAGAGGAGAGAACAAAAACCTGTAACTTCGGCGTTGGAAAAAAGTTTCTGCCGATTAAAACCGAACTAAACTTCGGTTTGGCTGTCTAAATTTCGGTTCGGCTTGCCAAATTGGAACCAAATTCAAAAACTTTGGTTCGGTAATTAGTACTAAAAAAACTTTCGATTCTCAGTAAGTTTCAGAGATTCCGGTAAATATCGGTTTAAAATGCAAATTTCGGTACACACTGATTCGACTAACGAGCACGAGACTCGAACCACCAAAGGCACGACTAAACCAGACTCGAACCAAACCAGACTCTAGTTGAACTACACCCGAATCCGAAACAAATCGACAAAGACAGACAGATGAAGATGGAGAAATTACCTTAACGGAGAAAGGATCCAAGGTGTGTGTAATATCAGGGTTTTTTTTTTATTAGGCAAAAAAAAAAAACGATCGGTTTAAAGTGTTCTGACCCTAAGTAATTTTTTAATTGCTCCCGATCGGTTTTCATGTATAAACCGAAATTAACCGAACTGATTGGTTGCCAATTCGATTCATTCTCCATTCAGACCGGAATGCAATCAGACAAGTCCCATTATTTATTTACATACACTTTACAAGTTTTCAAACATGTAATTACATACGTTTATCACTTTTCAGCTTGTAACAAACCCAAACCGTTTTATGAAACCGTTTTAGTAGTTTCTGATGGTGCTACTGGTGCAAGGTGTGCAAGCAAGATCAATGGTTGAGATACAAACTCGTAGAACTTCGTGAACAACTCCTCGTTGAAGCACTCGTAGCACCATTTCTTCTTTCCCTCTCACAACATCGCCTAGAGAGACCTGACGCGAGACAACCTCGTCTCTCATTCGTCTACCACGTGACCATCGACCTAACGTCAACCATTTCACCCAAACTAGCTGCTCTGAGACTCCACATCGCCTCATAGCGTCCAAGATTTGCTTCCTCTGTATAAGAAAATGGCGAATCAAAAGCTGGAAAACGAATAGCCATGTCTTTACTTAGTCACAGAAACAGAAACTAACCATCGGTTTCAGGTGTTGTAAGCAGTAGATGAGTCCAATAAGGTTAAGCAGCACACTCAAGTTTGGTTTGAAGAGAAACAACTCTACATCTTGGATTCCTAACCGCATCGACCTCATTGTTTCAACCGCGTGTAGATATTCCCAGGCCTCTAAAGACAACGTAGCGGGCCACTGAGTCACGAATGTAATCACCTCAGAAACTCTAGACGCCATTTCATTGTGCCGCATCACGTAAACTCTTCTCCATTCCTACAAAATGTTTTAGAAGATAGAGTTATTATAAACACATAATAGTCCTCATCTCAATCAAAGTCGCATAGAATAGCTGAATCTCAGTCTCTGGCAATCTATTAGCTCTTCACACAAATTCTCAAGCTTTTGTAAATCTCATAGACATATGAAGGTGATCTGATATGAAAAGTCC